TCACGTTTTTTTTTTCTAATTTGGTGAAGTAGATCGAGGGGCCTGAGTCTGAATCAAAGTAGTCTAGTCCATCTAACTACTTGACTAGTATGGTTGGACCTTAGCCTCAAGCAAATTCATCTAGTTAATACAGCTGACCTAATTATTCACGTGAGGGTTACGGCCGCAACCGTGTAATTTGATGAGCCAAAGGATCAAGTGAATTCTGCTATAATCTGTTTAGTCACATTAATTAGATTGGGGGCCTTGAGCCTGAATGCAAGTAATCCAATAATTACTCGAACATTACATTTGCCGGCTTGAGCAAGAATTCGTTTAACCAATCCAATCATGACTTACCAAAGCAAATACAGGCGATGGAAAGGACCCCACGAAGCAACCATGTGGATATCGAAATGCGTGATCTGGTTGTCTCAGTCATGTGGTCATTCAACTTGACGTATGAATTTCATTAATCAGATCAGTTTTATTACTTAGAGCAGGGGGCCTGGGCGTGAACCCCATAAGTCTAATCATGAGCTTACTTGTACCAATTTGAATCATTGGGGGCCTGAACCTGGATGTACTTAAGGAAGTTCACCAGTCAGTCAAATGAAAGAGACGGCCAGGACCCTGTAATATGTGAAGTTATACGAGTCTATTTTAGTTTTTTGTTGACGCAGCTATGTGGCCATGTCTATTCTACTTAGAAATTAGTGCAAAAATGTACCAGGGGTGATGACCGTCAGCCCTACATATATNNGCTGAGCAAGCAGATTTGTGTCGACTTTTCAGCAGGAAAAGTGGAGGAAATTGTGGACCTGCTCTCTGGCAAGGTGAGTTGCACTAGCAACTGCATGTCATGGTTGTCGAGTAGAAGCTGAAGCACGTCCTCAGCTGGCTTGTGGAAGAAAGGGCCTCGGAATGTTGTGCTTGAATGTTACAAGATTTGGGCTCCTAAAGCCGCTTTTTGCGTCGTGGCCATCGTGGCCACACAAATCGCATTGATCAGCATGACCGCAGCCGCCTGAGTTAATGCTGCTTACATTGAGACATCTGGCCGCTTGGCATTTCCCAAGGTGTCCGGTTTCACGTTTGTTGCCCTCATCGATGCTGGCCTCCTCCTTGCTGAGATGGAGCGACCACGAGGCCAGTAAACATCCGGATCTGCTTCCTCAATGTTTGCTGCAAGCGTCAGAACGACATCGACGACGAGAAGATCGACGGCGACGACGAGACTGAAATCAAGTCTACAAACGGTCCTTGCCCCAGTCAGGAAACACATTCTCATGCATGCGTTGCCATGTCTTAGAGACCTTAGACCTTCTCCCAAACATAACTTAATCAGTGGGATGTGTTACCCACAATTTAGGAATAACTGCGACTGCTTTCTCATCTTGTTCGCGAAAATTGTCTGAGCTGTTTCAGCACAGAATAAAATATCAATGCAGTTCAGCCACTTGATTTAGATGTCGACGATTCTGATTGGCACGAAAGGGTTCGGCTGGCCGGTGCGGATGGACGAAAAGCAATGTCCCGAGCAGACTTAGCTATGCACGCATGCCTTGCTTGTGTTGTGCATTACATGCTGCATGGCCAGCTGGGCACAAACATTCAAGAAACTCGCACAAAGGAAGATTGAACACAAGGCTGAAATCCTCACACCACTCGCTCACGGTCGGCGGCGCAAGTTGATAATACCCGACCTTGGCGATTGGGCACCGGAAGCTCCAAAGCAAACAAATTTAGGGCCTGCGGCACCGGCCGGTCTGGCTTCCCCCCTTGAAAATCACACCCCGGAACTCTGATGCTGTTCGAGACCATGAGAAGCCTTTTTCAAACGTGATGTTCTTTCTACTTTGGGTGGTCTTTTCAGGTTTCAAGGTCTTTTTGCCCATGACTTAATGCGCCATGAGACCCCGTGCAATTGTGCTGATGATGCTTGCGCACGGGCCACACGTCCGCCATCGGCAGCACAGTTGGGAGCCCATTCCAAAGCGTTTTGAATTTGTTTTTGCGCCAGCTTTCCATGCTTTGGCCGGCATCTGCTATTCTCTGCAATTCAGATGCACCACTTCTACACAGCTACGAAATCAAAGTGGTGCACAGTGGTAGCGCAGGAGCCTCCAAAGTGCTGAAAAATCGTACAGAAAATTTGTAAAAAGTCACGCAACATGCACAGCTGACAGGCTTTGGCCTGGGCAACGCAGCAGGTCCGCTCGCATGCTGGTCATGCGGCACAGGTGCTGCCAATAATCAGCCCTTTTGTGTTCTTTAGTGGTATTTGCAGCCACAACTACTGCCAACAGCACGTATTTGAGCATTTTGCAGATGTTCACAGCACATTTTGGGCTTCAGCAGCCCCCATGAGAGGCCAGTATCATGAGCATCAATGCATCTGTCTGGGCCAGGTCCCCTACGAAAACCCTGAAGTTGAGTTTCAACAAAAGAGAAACGAAGGCGCAATTTTGCTGATGATGACTGGCGAGAAAGGTGCCCAAAACGCATCCAAAAATCATCTTGTTCGTGACCGCCACATGCACGGATTCAGGGCTGCTGCTCAGGGGAGTTTCGGCGGCGCTGTGGTCCAGTGCAGATGACCGCCTAGTTAGCGATGCGATACGGAGTAACGCCAAATCCGCCAATCTTGTCAGGAAATTGGTTTTGGGGATCAGGCATCACCCTACGTCCTTTGGTTGCTGCTGCAAGCCATAGCCTGGCTTCGCTACAACGTGCACGTCAGTGGCGCCAACCCTGCATCATTGGACCTGCGATTCTCCTAAGGGCCAACCCCGCTCTCAAACCAAGCTGAAATTCGCAACTGCGTTGATCTCAAGGTCCTGTAGGAGAACTTACATGTATGGACCGCCAGCATAGCAAGATATGTCTTCGCGAAAGTTTCGCGATGGCTCCGCGAAAGGACATTAATTTCAGGCTTTACGTTCTGAGTTCTCCAACTTGGAGACATGTCTAGGTCTAGGCGCCTAGGCTCTCAGCTCTGCTAGGCTATGGGTCTGAAGGAGCCTCAGGGCCAGGTTTTCTCATCGCCTTTGGAAGAAGGGCATTACTTCTTGGACCATTTTTTCAATTCCGTCCTTCTCTCTTAGACTTTGCTCGAATCTTGGAAGCTTATCTAAGCTAGATATTCTTCGGGCTCTAACCAAGCCTTTTGAAAGGCGGTCTGGATCAGGAGGGTGCTATATTCAGTAAAACAAGTTTTGCCTCATGCTTGAACCAGTTTACACTCAAAATGATCATGCCCCGCGATGCATGGGGGTCAATTACACAAATTGGAACCACGTGAAACTCATGATGCAAACGAGTTTACATTCAACAATGGTGATGTCACATGATGCATGAGGGTCAGTAAAACAAATTTTGAAAACCATGTGCGACCGAGAATTGTCGAAGTCAGTGAGTCAGGAATCAGGCAGGCAAGAGTCAGGAAACGAGAGAAGCGGAGTCAGGAAACAGCAGGGGAGGAGTGGGAACCATGGAAGTATATGCCAGCAGCTCTCAGCCACTAGAGTGTAGCTTAATCATGTAAATTTACATGATGACCCCGCCAGATGCTCAAGGCCCCAAACCTTAAACCGGAAGACGCAGAACCCTCATGGCATGTATTCTCCGGACAAGAAAACCTCGATGGGACCCTAAAGTAGCGCAGGGGGTGGGGATATTGCAGACACCTGTACGCATGAATCAAAACCCAGAAGATTAACCTACCCTCAAGGTTCCCCCATTTGCCGATTCGACCGCTGGACGTAGCGCGATGACTCACACAGCATGGTCGCTGCCCGGACTCGTTAAAACAGCCAAGCACGGTGTGTATCAGCCCCAACGCCGAGACAGTGTTGAACATCAATGACTTAACCTTTGTTATAGAGCACTTGGTGCAGCAAAGCGTCCCAGCGCAAGATGTTCTACGATTGCTAGAGCCGACTTGAACACATCACCCGCTTTCATCCTTTTCGGCAGCTTCAGACTATCCAGCGCGCCGGCACAGCACACGTCTCATCGCCGGAAGTGCACATAGGTGCTCTCGGTCCTCTCTCTCACTTTCCCTGCCCCCTCTTCCTCTTCGAACAGCTGTAAATTCTTTGCAAACTCTCGGATCATGCGCTGGAATTAGTTTGAACACGTTTTCTTGTATCAGTTGTTGTCCTAAGTAGACAGGTTGAAAGTGTGTGGGCGTTGCAGCTTGATTGCTTACGGCATTCCGCTCGCACCAACAAGGTGCGAGTGATGATGGAAGGAGCTGTGATGGCGCGGTCCTTGCAGACTTTCAGCAGTGCTGAGACGTTTGAGACTGTGGGCCCGGCATGGCCTTGGTTTGGCAGGCTTCAAGGCGCTCCCACCTTGCTCACCGACGACTCAAGAGGCTTTAGACATGTGAATCATGTGATCATCTGGGCCACAATGATTGGCGGAATCCTGTGAATGGTCGTGCCAGGTTGGCATCTTGGCTCCAGAGGACGCTCAACATGACGTGCCTATTCTTCCCTCACGCAGTGAACCCTCTTGCTTCTGAGATATGCCGGGCTTGCTGTGCTGGCTTGGGAGAAAGGTTAAGTTCAGAAAGAGAGAGAGACATTATACATATAGGTATTATGTATATGGACACACCCCGCCCCATGATCCACCGACCCCCTGAATACACTGTAAATATCGACAGAAACAAGCATTTTCGTATGATCAGATTTTGGACACGCCCCGGATTCGGATTGGATTTTATAAGTTTTGATATTCTGATCCATATACGCTGCTCTTTAAAAATGTTTGAACTAAATACGAAAATTTACTCCAAACCTGGATTCCCGGGTTTTCGATCGGATTCTGGTCCATATAGATTCTTTATGAAACCTATTTGAATTCACTACGAAAATCGCAGAATCCTGGATTCCTGGTTTTTGCCCGGATTCTGCTATCTATAACTCATCTATTACATGACATTGAACATAGCACGGAAATACAGAAAGCACAAAAAGCGCCAACACTAAAAACAACAAAACATCTTTTTTGAGATCTATGGTGAGCTGAAAAAGATTGCCTTTTTTGTTTTCCTAGGAAAAAGATATTTTGTTTTGAGAAAACTACCTTTTCCCTAGGAAAAAGATAGTTTGTGGAGCCCGGGCCTTCAACAAATTATCTTTTCCCTAGGAATAAGATAGTTTTTCCAATTATGTATGCTGGAGGGTTGCAAATATGTATATATATATATATAGAAAGGGTTCCCGGGTGTATGTACTAGAAAGAGGGCGCGCCCTGGGCGTTTGCCCGGACGCGATTCGGTCATGTGTGCGAATAACCCACGTTTTGCAGTGTTTGGAAGGTTTGTTGAGGATTCAGAGTCAGGGCAAAAGATCCCGGATTTTTTACGTGGGCTTTGTAACATGCGAACTGCTTGTCATGTCAGGCCGCAAAGTGTGCATGTTTGTTTTCACCATTGTGCGCAGTGTCTCGTGCTCTTCGGAGCGCGTTGCGTATTCACGGAATACGCGATTTTTCAGTCCCGTTGTGGATGGCCCGAATTTATGATTTTACGGTTTTTTGGTCAAAGCTATGCTGAATGTATAACGATTCACGGGAATGAAAAACCGTGCATTCTTGAAGAGTTAGCGCAACATGGGATATGAGGCAAGATCATCTACGAATACCCACACACTCGTAACATACCACCAGAACCACATGGACAGGACCACCAGAACCACAGGACACCCCCTCGAGGGCCGGAGCAGCATAATTCCCTTTCCGCTCTGGGCTCCCACTAGAAAGAATACTCTTTCTAGGCTGCGCCCTGGGCGTTTGCCCGGAATTTATCCGCTGTCAAAGGCATCCGCTGTCTTGCTTCGTTTACAAAAGCATATGGTTACCAGAGCATCCAT